AATTCTTAAAAACTTTTTTTTGCGGATATGTGTTTCGGATAAGTAAATAACCTTGAATCAGCCCCACACATTTTCCAAAAGTATATATAGATATCCAAGTAACTCAAATGATAATTGATATCGAAATTGAATTCAAATCTTGCAATCTCAGCTAGAATTACTAAAATGTCTGCTGCTAATTTATTAAAAAAAAAGGGATCAGATATCGTTGTTTTATCAGCCTTAAGATCTCCTGTAACTAGAGCCATTAAAGGTGGAAATGCTAAAATGTACCCAGAAGAATTGTTATATCAGGTTTTGAAGGGTTCTGTTGATAAGTCTGGTATTAACCCAGAATTAATTGATGACATCTTAATTGGGACAGTTTTACAAACTTTGGGTGGACAAAAAGCTTCGGCTCTTGCAGTAAAGTCTGTAGGTTTCCCAATCAAGACTACTGTGAATACTGTGAATCGTCAGTGTGCTTCCTCTGCTCAGGCATTGTCTTACAGTGCAGGCTCAATTTTATCAGGTGAAAACCAATTTGCAATTGCAGCAGGTGTGGAGTCCATGACACACGATTATTTTCCTCACAGAGGTATCCCAACTAGAATTTACCAGCCATTTAAAAATGATGCAAGTTCAGAAGCTCAAAATGTGTTAATGCCTATGGGTATTACAAGTGAAAATGTTGCTAAGAAATACGGAATTTCAAGAGAAGACCAGGATGCATTTGCACTCCAATCTCACTTGAAAGCATATGAGGCTACTGAATCTGGTCATTTCTCGAATGAAATTTTACCTATCAAAGCTAGGACCAACAATGAAGACGAACCATTAAATATTGTAGAAGTTACAAAAGATGATGGTGTTCGTGGAAGCTCTACTATAGAAAAATTAGCATCTTTAAAACCAGTCTTTGCCGAAGATGGTACTACCACAGCTGGCAATTCGTCCCAAATTTCCGATGGGGCATCGGCCGTTATTATTACCACAAGAGACAATGCAGAAAAGATTGGAATTAAACCTATTGCGAGATTCATCGGTTCATCTGTTGCCGGTGTTCCATCTGATTTAATGGGAATTGGCCCTTCTGCTGCCGTTCCTCAATTATTGAACAGATTGAAGGTCGATATCAGCGACATCGATATTTTCGAATTGAATGAAGCTTTTGCCTCTCAATCCCTTTATTGTATTGACAAACTAGGTATTAACCATGATAAAGTCAATCCATACGGAGGTGCTATTGCTATTGGTCATCCATTAGGAGCTACCGGTGGTAGAGTTATTTCAACCTTATTGAACGGTTTGAGAGCACAAAATAAAGAGTTGGGGGTAATCTCAATGTGTACTTCTACCGGTCAAGGTTATGCTGCCTTATTCGCCAATGAAGCTTAGTGTATATGGATATATCAGTATTACGTATCGAAAATAAATATATAATAACTATAGAAAGTGAAATAGACGTTTGTTAGAAGTTCGATGGGTAACATCAATTGGTTAAATCTGACAAAGCTTAACAAGGCCATAAAGCAACCCACCACCAACAACAGGAATAACGAAGTTATCGTCGATGTTAAAAATATCAACAAATTCCGAAACACTTGCAATAACACCAGATATTAATGCATAGGAATGTAAATTTAAAGCACTTGATTCTGGAGTCCACATAATATATCCTGGTTGATTGTCAAACTTAGGAATAAAGTAACCATAAACTAAATAACAACAGGAAACACCTACTGAGAAACAGGCTAATGTTCCGGCAAGAGATTTACCAGGAACAATTTGGGGAGTATATTTACCATATTGACGGCCTATAGTTGATGCTGCTGTGTCAGCCCAACTCAACAATAATATTCCCATAAAAAGAATATCTCTTGGAGCTAAAAGAAAAAGTATTATAACCCCGGCTAAATACCATAATGTTCCATTATACGAGTTAACTTCACTATCTCTAACTATGAACCACCATCTAGCCACGATTCTCTTGTTCAATTCTGGATCACGGAGACGTACAATATCATTTATAAGAATAATAACGAATAACGCTGTCAGTGGTGCAACAAATTGCAGTTGTGGTACACCTAAGGCAAACATCACTAGCGTAATGAAACCTATGGAACAGTGTAAGATCTTTCTTGGGATCTCATGTTTAATAAGAAATTTATGGAATTCGGATTCCTCTGGCTTTTCTTCATTCACGTTTTCATTTTCTGATTCAAGTTTTTCTGTCTTGGAAATTTCTACACTTTCAATCTCAACTTCTGTATCATCAAGATCAAAATCTTCCTCTTCTATTTCTTCCTCATACACTTCATCTTCATCTTCACTAATAGCTGAAGTAGTCGTTTCGTCATAAAGATAGGTTGTGTCTTCTTCTTCTACATATGAATCATCCACGTCATATGTTAAAATTGTTTTCTTTAACACCGATTTTGGTGTTTTAGCTCTCACATTTTTTTGAATACGGGGCGTACTGGGAGTACGCGACTCTTGTGTTTCTGATGTCATTATATATGAGATCTATCTATTGTGGGTATATTAATTCAAGTTCCAAAAAAAAAAGAACTACTAAAACTTCTGTTCATCGGGCTCATTAAATCACGGAACTTTTTTTTTAGTATTATTGTTTATAAACCAGAACGAGATTTTGTGTCATCGTATTGTCAACGTGTTGTAGTTGCAACACACACACATATATGTATATATATATATATATATACGAGATATATGCACTTTGGTTTGATACAGTGATTGACATTGAATGTTCAGCTAATCTTCTAAGAAGTCTGATGAGCCAAAAAAAAAAATTAGCTGTAGAACGAAATTAGAGTAAGATTGATTATTATGTCTTATAGATAATAGGCTGTAATTACACCTGATCCCATTTTACGTAACCGAATGCTGTCAAAGCAATACGAATACCCCAAAGTTTAGTTATGTACAAGGTGTCTTATGAGAGACTTAGCCTAATTTAGAAATAACTTTCTCAGCAATTTCAATGTAAGGCTGTGCTATTTTTGAGTTTGGGTGCGATACAACCACAGGCTTTCCAGCATCGGATTGCATGCATATCTCTTCATTTAAAGGTATGGAGCCTAATACCTCCAAATGGTGCTTTTTGGCTTCTCTTCGAGCACCGTCAGTCCCGAATATGTGTGATTCGTGATTGCAATGGGGACATACAAAGTAGCTCATGTTTTGAACCAAGCCTAGGATAGGGATATTAACCTTATTGAACATTGTGATTCCTTTCACGGCATCAATCAAAGCTATATCTTGTGGAGTGGTGACAATAATTGATCCGTCGACTTTTAATTGTTGACTGATTGTCAACTGTGTATCACCAGTTCCTGGTGGCATATCCACAACCAAATAGTCTAGATTTGTCCATTTTACTTCAAATAAGAGCTGCTGTAAAGCTTTCATAACCATTAAGCCTCTCCATACAATTGCATTTTCTGGGTTTATTAAATATCCCATCGACATTGATTCCACCCCATAATTTGTCAATGGTATCAATTTTCCGTCCTCTGATAAACGAGGCTCTCCTGATAAATTTAATAATCTAGGTACGGAAGGTCCAAATACATCAGTATCTAGGACACCAACTTTCTTGCCTAACCCCTGCAATGCCAATGCAATGTTTATAGAAACAGTAGATTTGCCTACACCACCTTTTGCAGAAGAAACCAATAATATTTTATCCACTCCTGGTATTTTTTGTTTTATTGGTAATCCCTTGGACATTCTAGGAATATCCGGTACTTTACCATCCTTCTTTACCCTAGGTAATCCTAATGGATTCTCATGAGGTCTCTTCACGGAGGTATGAAAATATGCAAATCTTAATGCATTCACATTTTTACGGTTGAGGCAACCTTTCTTAATCTCTCTTATAATCATTTTATAGTTCTAAATCAATAGCCTAGTTGTAGTAGTTCAAGCTCTAAAGAAGCGATGCTGATGTATTTAGTGCGGCTCAAAAAAATACAAGATTGATTTTAAACATTTCAAGATTTATATTTATAGAAATCTTAAATAGTCATGATATTTATAAGGAATATAAATAGTCTTGTGGTTAATCCAACTACTAGAGTTTTTGGCTCTGGGTCTTTTTTTTCCAGAAAAGTATTTTATTCTAATGCTACAGTGGACTATAAGCCAACAATCTATGCTCTTTCGACAAAACTAGCAAGATCTGCAATAGGTGTTATCAGGGTCTCCGGATCTCAATCGCAGTATATATATAATAAGTTAACTAAAACATCTATGCCTCCAAAATTGAAAACTGCAAGCGTACGGAAACTATATTCACAGGAAGACGTACTCCTAGATGAAGCGCTCACGTTATATTTCAAGTCTCCTAAAACTTATACAGGGGAAGATATATTGGAATTACATTTACATGGTGGAACTGCAATTATACAATCTGTTCTTAATGCTATAAAGAGATTACATAACCCAAGAAATGGTATTAACATAAGGTACGCGGAGAATGGTGAGTTTTCTCGAAGAGCTTTTATTAACGGAAGATTCGATTTAACTGAAATCGAAGGAATAAGAGAGATGATAGATGCCGAAACTGAGTCTCAAAGAGTTGCAGCTTTATCTTCTTTAACTGGTGATACTAAGAAAATATTTTCTGAGTGGAGAGAACAAATAGTGAAAAATGTTGCGTTATTGACGACTGTAATCGATTTTGGAGAAGATCATGATATAGAAGAAGTCGCTCAATTATTTGATACTGTTGAACAAAACATGAATACTCTTTCTAGTGAAATAAATACTTTCTTGCTAAAGGTTTTGAGTTCTGAAGTCTTGATGAAAGGTATTAAACTCATCTTGTTAGGACCTCCAAATGCCGGTAAATCATCATTGTTGAATTATTTAGCTAACAAGGAGGCTGCTATTGTTAGTGACATAGCTGGGACTACTAGAGACGTTATTGATGTACCATTGGATATAAACGGATACAAAGTTATTGTTGGTGATACTGCGGGTATACGAACCACAACTAATGCTGACAAAATAGAAATCGAAGGAATCAAGAGAGCTAAGCTAAAATCTTTAGGGGGTGATTTGGTTTTAGTTGTTTTACCACTTGAAGATAATTCGTACATAGATTATACGGACTTGATTTCTCATATTAAATTATTAAATGATGAAGGAAAGGAGATAATAGTTGTTTTAAATAAGCAAGATTTAATATCGAATTCAAAGCATACCAAGAATGAAATCGTTGAAAGCTATAGTGAAAAGTTGATGCTACCGGTTGAAAACTTCCATTTAGTATCTTGTATTACTGGATATGGAATTTCAGAATTAATGTGTGTGCTAACAGATACATTCAAAGCAATTTCCTTGACGGAAACTACTGATCCTATTGTGATATCTGCTAGAGCTCAAGATATTCTCAAAAATGATGTTATATATAGTATCGAGCAATTTAATATCTGGAGAGAGCAAGATGATGTTGTATTAGCATCAGAAAGTTTGAAACAAGCTGCCGAGGGTATCGGAAAAATTACAGGTGAAGCGATAGGCGTTGAAGAGGTTCTAGGGGTCGTCTTTTCAAGCTTCTGTATCGGCAAATGACCCATTAATTGGCTAGCCATATTTGTAAATATACATGTATTAATAGTAATATAAACTACAAACTTGACCTTTTATAAAAGTTTACTCTAAGCACTATGACACACAATTATAAAGCTCGTTTTCTCG